GGATCTCATCAGAAATGGCCTCTGCTGTTCCACCAGCCGACTGGTTCTCCTCTTCTGGGACTCTGGGTGGATCTCATCAGAAACAGTCTCTGCTGTTCCACCAGCTAACTGGTTCTCCTCTTCTGGGATTCTGAGTGGATCTCGTAGGAAATGTCTTCTGCTGTTCCGCCAGCCAACTGGTTCGCCTCTTCTGGGTCTCAGGGTGGATCTAATAGGAAATGTCTTCTGCTGTTCCGCCAGCCATCTGGTTCTCCTCTTCTGGGATTCTGGGTGGATCTTGTCAGAAACAACCTCTGCTGTTCTGCCAGCCAGCTGGTTCTCTTCTTTTGGGACACTGGGTGGATGTATGTTGGATTTCTAGCTCTACTTTCTACATCTCTTAATTTTCGCTTACTTCTATTTTCTTACCTTTTTGTGCAACACTGCAATTCCTTTAGAAATCTTCCATTTTGCTATTTCTTGCTTTATCTATGACCAATATGTTTCTTAGTCTATCCCTCAAGTTCTCATTTCTGAAATAAAGTATACTTGATCCTTCTCAGGTCCACCTGATCACTTTTGATAATCCAGCCCTGTGATTTCATTTTATTTTAAAGAATATTTCATAGAAATTATGTTACGTGATTAATCCCAATGGCTGATGTCCTCTGGGGACTGAACTGCCCTGTTGTCCTGCTGCTGTTGGTTCTCCATCCCAACTGTTGCCCAGCAGCACACCCCATTACGGGCTAGGACTTCTGTGGTTCCCCCCCCAAGGCCTAACTAGATCTTTTTCCCAGAAAAGACCTTGTTCTTGTGTTCAAGACTCACAGGAAGATCTGCTGCTGCTTTCACTCTTAGGGAAAATCTGCCTCTTCTCACTGGCTGTCCACTCTTAGCGTGTTTGATAGGGATGGGGAAAGGAGTGAGAGGCAATCTTAGCTATCTTGCCCATTTCCTGCAAGCCATCAAAATGTTTAAAATCATTTTTTTTTCTAACATCAAACTGCCTTACTGTGGCAAAGCCCTTCAAATTGTGTCTACCATCCACCAGGAGTAGGTCTACCCAGCTTTCCTCATTCCCTGAAATCCAAGGATGGGGGAGATGGCTGTGCTCACTTTAGCTCAGAGGGATATGAAAACACCCTCGCTCACCTGTGAGGGCCTAGGGAAAGGGCATAAACATGGAATCTGAAAACCTGGTTTCAGGCCTGCCTCTAGCAATCTCTGTGACCCTGGACAGGACTCCGGCCACTCCACTGTCCTGGGCTCTCAGGTCTGTAGAACGGGGAACCTGGTGAAGTACTCTGGGCTCTCTAGCTCTGACGGAAATCATCCTGGCTACTAGCCTGGTCTGTCTTTCCTGAAACACACTATAAAAGGCCCTGCAGTCAAACTCCACCACGGACACCACAGAAGCATCTCCTGCAGTGGTCACTGATGTCTTCTCTATGCCCCAGGTGAGGTCCTTCTTGTCTGCAGCACATGATGCTGACAGCTACCCCCAACACCCACCCCCAGCTCCTGGTGCTGTAGCTGACATGTCATCTCCCCTCCTCCTCTCAGACTGCTCCTTCTCTTCCCTTTGCTGACCTGTCCCAGTGTCCCAGATGGGAACTCCCAGGGCGTTGTCTCAGGCCCTTTCTTTCTCAGGCCACATGGTCCCTAGAAGTGCCCCATCTGCCAGAGCTTCCACAAGCCCCTTTATGGAAATAGACCCTTGCCCATGGGACAGGCACTCACCCGAGCCTCCCCATCAGGAGCCTCTCTACAGGCATCTGGCACCAGGACATTGACACTGACCCTGCCTCCCTTAGTGACTTCCCCTTCATAACCATCCTCCTTGCATACTCGTGTTCAAAATTTGAGCTGCCTGGGGGACAGAAGCAAAAAGTGCAGACTCTGAGCTGTTGGTCTGGATCCATCTGAAACCCCACCAGGCAGTTAAACAAGGTCAGGGTTTCCCAGCTGCCTCTTCCTCACTATTCATGGAAAACAAAAGCTCTGCTCTTGATTGGCTCTTGCTAAAACCAGGACCACAGTCCCCTTCCTAATGGGCCTCAGGCCATCCCTCACCCTATATTCACAAGGCGCTTCCAGAACCAGGTCTGAGGGGGACCCTGCTCCTCCCATCTCTAAGTATCCCTGCCCTTTTTGTGTGCTGCCTGCCTCCCTGTGCACCTCCTCAACTACTAGAACCCCATGGACAGCCACCTGCTGTCCCAGTCATGCTCATGTCTGGCTTCTCATCATCTGGCCAGCACAAGCAGTGACCTGGAAGACAGAGGTCACTTTAGGGGCAGACAGACCAAGACTCACCCATCCTGCCCCGACTTCGAGCCCCTGCTCCTCAGCCACAGGCCCAAGTGGAGCTGGTTTCCCCCACAACCCTTGATTGCGCTCTGTCTGGACTATTTCTGTCTCCTCCTCCCCATCACTGACTACTCTGCTGGTCTTACTCACCACTGCCACATGGCCTTTAAGGCCTCTGCTGAAATGTCCCATCTTCAAGGAGGCCTCCCCAACCCTGGACCATGCAGGCCCCAGCTCTGCCAGCCCTTGGTTTGGCAAATCGTAGGGTCCCCACCCAGACCATGCAGGCCCCAGCTCCATTAGCCCCTGGTTTATTAGATCCTAGGGTCCCCACCCGGACTGTGCAGGCCCCAGCTCTGTCAGCCCCCAGTTTGGCAGATCACTGGGTCCCCACCCCAGCACCCATTCCCTTTCCTTTTTAGTAACAATGTCCCCCATTTGGGGCTAAAACTATAAAAATATTTCCAGCTTCTATTGCATCTAAATTTGAGCATTTGACTAACCCCTAGGCAAATGGCTGAGATGCAAGCAGAGATGTCTTTCAGGGCAGTGGGTGTGTTCTTGCTCATTTCCTCCCTCCATCTGCTACCTGGAATATGAATGTGATGGTCGGAGTCCTGCAGCCATTGTGGGCCATTAGTGCCATGGTGGAGAATGGAGCTGAAAGGGACCTGGGTCTCTGAGGACTGTGGGGGTGACCTTGCCAGCTCTGGGTTATCAACCTCCAGATATACTTCACATGAGAGTCACAACATCTGTCTTCTCTAAGATCAACTACTCTTTTAAGTGACACAGAACTTTGTCAACTATGTATTTACTTGCTTGGTTTATACTTTTTGCAGTGCACTATGAAGAGAGGCTTCTTGCCTGCCTTAGTTGCTTCTGTGTTATCTGCACTTATTAAGGGGCCAGGCTAAAGGACAATCCTGACAGATACCTTGAGGCAGACAAAGGACAGGCTTGAAGCCAAGGCTCAGTGTATGACCAGGCTCAAGGTTCAATGTGTGACCAGAACATGTAACTGGGCTGGGAACATGTTGTGGGACCAGATCAGAGCTGTGAGTGACCAGGGTCAATGCTCAGTATATAACTGAAGTAAGGACATAGTGTGAGAAGAGGATCAGGGCTCAGTGTATGACCAGGATCAGGCTCATTCTGGGACTAGAGTAGGGAATGTGTCCACGGCAAGACTGTAACACAAGAAGGAAAATGCTCATTGCCATAAGAGAGGTCAATGTCAACCACGATGAATGTTTATAGTGGACGAGAACCAGAAGGAGATTTACAAAGGCTTCTTGGACGGGGTGGTTTGAAATAAATCTGGATGTTAAGGGTAGAGAATGGCTTTCCTGGGGAGGGATACGTTTGAGTAGAGGCCCCCATGCATGCAGAACAGAGCCATGGAACCCATTGAGGGAGAAGAGTGTGAAGCAGGGCCAAGACACATTCAAAGACAGCTGGCTGTCTGGCGTCAGTCTGGGGTCTTTCACAGACAGCAGTCACTGACACTGGGCCGTGTGAAGAACAGCTCAGGACCAGGCCCCACTGGCTCACCAAAAAGGCTGCAGGCTGACCCTCAGGCCCCAGGTGGCCAGGTTGGCTCCTACCTCCTCTTCTACTGGCACCCAGATGGTAGCCACCCAACCTGTGTGGAAACAGATAGTGCCTTAGCAAGCGGGGACAAGGACAGGAGGTGGCGCTGCCCCCTCTGCAGGGGCTCACAGAGTCAGAGGTAGTGATGGTGAAGAAAGGCCCAGAGCCTAGCAGGTGCTCGGGACCCCCCCTAGGGGGGCCGAAGCAAAGGCAGAGCCAGAGAAAGCAGCAGGTTCCAGCTCATTTACTGTCATCATCACTGGCATTATCACCTTTTTTGTTATTTTATGTTCACATAAGAAAAATACTTTCTGCAAAAAAAAAAAAAAAAATCTACAGGTACAAAATGGCATCCCACTCCCATATAGTGCCAAGTAATATATATGCCTATACTCATATTTATAATAACAGATATAAAATTGGACAGAAATGACTCTGGCCCACGGGATGGGCTCCCTGGGCAGAGTAAGGCAGAACTGCAGGAGCCCAGCCCCTAGTCTGCATGCCACCCGAGAGACAGGCCTCAGGCATCACTCCAAATCACACTTTGGGACCCTCTGGCACCTAGCCAAGCCACACCACTCTAGGGCCCCAACATCCAAATGCACCTCCCCATCTGCCACACAGTGCTGAGAAGTCCACAGCCAGGCGCCCCAGCTGTCCGAGCCTGAGATCAACAGTGAGATCAGAGGAACTGATCTCTCACTGCCCTATCCCCTGCCTTCTTCTTGGCCTGGGCCCCAGCCCACTGCCCCTCCTGCAGGTCAGCAAACCCACAAACAAAGCCACTGACACAGGGAACACAGGCAGATATTTGTATGTTCTCCGCCTTCCAGTCCTCCGGACACGAGGACTCTGGCTCACCAGAATCCCTGCCACCCTTCCCCAGCACAGAGGCCTTCCCTGCTTCCTGCTCCACCACCCGGGATCAGCCCTATATCTCCTCCTCCACCTTTAGGATCATCCCTGAGAAGACATCGAGGCCTGGCTGGGCATCAGCGGGGGTGTCCTGGGAGCTCCTGGTGGGCCCATGGGCCAGTCCCCCAGCAAGGGTGCCATCTGGGACAGAAGGCGAGGCTCCCTGGCTGGGGCGTGCCTCTGCCAGCTTCTTGAGGGTGTGATTGAGGGCCTCGACCCCGTCAGCCAACCGCTGGCTCTGCTCTGCGAGCCGCTGCAGCAGCAGGTTCTGCTGGGCCATCAGTGCACTCTGCTGCTGGGCCCAGGAGGACAGCAGGGCACCCTGCCGCCGGTGGGAGTCCAGCAGCCGCTGCTCAAAAGCAGACACTTCGGAGGCCACTGCCGGGGTCTTCCCAGAAGGCAGGGGAGGTGTGGGTACTGATGCTGAGGAGGGTGGGGAAGGCCGGAAGGCCCCCACAAACGTGGCTGCAGGTGGGGCTGCAGCTGGGGAGGCAGGTGGGGAGGGTGAGGAGGTGGGCACGTGGAAGGTTCCTCGGAAGTCCAGGGGGTCGGGTTCAGGCGGGCTGGGCCCATCCATGGTCCGCAGGGGCAGCCACAGGCAGCTGGGGGCCTCGTCTTCCTCATCGGCTAACAGAGGAAGACAGGAAGACATCAGCCTGGCTGGCCAGGGACCAGCACAGTGTGGGGGAAGTAAGGGGAAGAGACCTATCTGGGTTCCACAATACCCATGAAAGATGAGAAAACTTTTGGAGTGGTACATGGATTCACTCCTGTGTGGGCCAGGCCACCATGGCACCACCTCCTATTCATCCCCTACCATCAAAATACTGAGGCTCCATCCATCCGCACAGCTGTCACAAACCTATCTGCCATACTGCCCGTCCATGGGGTGCACCCCCCCACTCACCCATCTACCCCTCGCCTGTGCATTTCCACCTAGCCCTCTTCCCCCATGTCCTTTCCTACCCACCCACTCAGGCATATGCCCTTCATCCATCTGCCCATCCACCTGCCCACTGGGCATCAGCCTGTGGATGTCCCCAGAAGGGTGAGAGGATCGAGTGTCCCTAGAGAAGCAAGACCACCCTGAGCATGGAACCCCACAGCCTCTGGCTCCACACCCAGCTGCGCTCAGTCCCCACGTTGTGGACCCTAGGAATAACCCTCCTCTACTGAGGGCCTCTAATTCCTAGTCTGAAAATAAAAAGCTGACTTTGAAAGTTGAAGGGTCACTTTGAAACTTCTGACCCTTCCAGTTCTCTAGGTATGAAAGACAGGTGAGCAGATGTCTCTCCCAAGCCTGCTATGAGGCAGGGCCCACTGGGTGGGAACAGGACGTCACAGGGGGATGGCCTTCCCACCTGAGCCCCACCTGCCTACAGCCAAGGTGGCTCTTGCTATACAATGGAAATGGGGTGACTTTTCAGCAGCCTCGCCCCAGAGAGCGAAGAGGCTGGGTTCATCCATGAGGGTGGCTGGCTCAGTTGCCTGTGCTGCTGCTGCCTTCTCCTCCTCCTCCTTGTCGTCCTCCTCCTCCTCCTCCTCCTCACGGGCACACCTTCCTCCTGCAGTCCAGCGCATGTGCTGCTACTTCCGACCAGTGGTCCCTGAGGGTGGTCTCACCAGATCACTGCTGTCCTCCAAGGCGAGGCCCTCAGTAGCTCAGGCCTGAGCATCAGCACACCCATCAGTCTCACTTGCCAGTTGTCCTCAGTGGCAGGTGGGGAGGTGGTAGGCCGTGGGCTGGAGCAGAAGAGTCCTCAGCGGGAACCAGGACGCCCAGCCCAGCCCTGCCCTGTGCCATCCTGCAGATGACCTCATCACAGCCTCTCACAGTCTCCTCTCCTATCCCAAAGAGCTAATCCTTCGCCACTCTGATCTTACTCTGATGGCCAGTGGCAGAGAAAAGGGGAAGTTGGCAGCACCCCAGCCTCCATTCTCATGTCCTTGGTCCCTTTACCATGTGCTCTCACTGAGCGAGAGCTGGCCTGCAGCCACCCAGCCAGGGCCTGTGGGAGTGAGCACAAGGCCCCTGGTGGCACGGATCTCTCCTGCTCTGGCTCTACATCCCCAGGCCCCCTCGTGGCTCAAACCACAGCCACCTTTGCCTGTGCCCCTCTACAGAAACCAAGTACAACTCTGACTTCTCAAAGCCCTCCTCACAACCACCTGCTCAGCTGTCCACACTCCCCTGTGGCGTCCAGGGCTTGCCTGCCTTGAGTTGCTCCTCTGGGCACAGGCTGCACTGGCCCCCCTGCCAGGACAGCTCTTGCTCGGCTTCCAAGAACTGTGATCTCCCAGGAAGCCTCAGGGCCTCTCTTACCATGGTGGCCCCTGCCACCCTCACCTCTCTGGGCTGGATGTCTACGGGCCTGGCCCCTGGACACACATTACTTGAGTAAAAGCTCTGTTACATGGTTGTCTCCACCCATCAGGGCAGCGCAAAGGTCACAGTGAGTTCCTGAGATGGAGAGGGACAATGCCAAGTGGGCCCTCCTCCAGTGGGACCAGAGTCTCAAGGCAGCATGGGACCAGTCAGGCTTCTCAGGGGGACCATGGGTCAGCACGAAGGCCCAGTGGTTGGGCCTCAAGGCTGCCATAAGCCCCATTTCAAGCTATTTCATAGGGGCCTCACTCCCTTTACGGAAGGTCCCTCTGAGTCCCAGCCCAGGATGGACGCTGAGCTGCGTCAGCCCCATCAGCCCCAGCCCAGGATGGACGCTGAGCTGCGTCAGCCCCATCAGCCCCAGCCCAGGATGGACGCTGAGCTGCACGCTCCCACCATTGGGGCAGGTGCTGCAGAAAGGCTTGGCCCCCATCCTCCACCCCACTGTGCCCGTGGAGAGGGCGGCAGAGATAGCATGCCCAGCGACACAGTTCCCCAAAAGCCAGCTTCTAACCATGTGGCCACAGGGCACTGCCCTCTCCTGAGAACCATACCACAGCCTGCCAGCCTTGCCTAGCCTACTGGGGAAAGACTCTAGCTACCTGCTTCACAGGCTTGGTGGGCACAGGACCTATGAAAGAAGGCAGTGGGGGCCCAGATGACAGAGGAGATGGTGCTGACCACCCAGGCTATGCAGACCACAACTGCAGCCCCCTCCTCAGCCCTCCCTGCCCCCCAAGGCTTGAGCCAGCAGTGTGGCTCAGAGGAGATCCTGTGAGTCTGGACCTCCTGCACACAGAGCAGGGCCTGGGCCCCTGGACACACAGATGGAGGGACGGAGGGACAGAGGGAAGGAGACAGGCTGGCAGGGCACTCTCACCCTCACACTGACTTACTTGGTACTGGCTGCTCTGGCCAGGAGCCACCTCCACATGTGAGGACACAGCCTCAAGGCCAGCTTCAATACTGTCTGCAAATCAAGACACAGAAGGCAACTTCAGGGGCAGGACCCACCCATCCTAGCCCTGAGGGCACCTCCAAGGCAGGCCCCACGGAGCCAGCTCAGGCCAGGGAGTGAACAGCGTGGGCTTTGCATCCGCTCCTCTGGGCCCTGAGATCCCTCCGTGTGGGCTTCCCTGGAGGCCTGGCCTCCAGAGGAGCAGCTGTAGGGTCAGGTGCTGGGCTGCCAGGCACCACTGAGGGAGCCGGTGTGAGCTGTGGCTCGCCAGTGGCATCAGGATAGGGGCCTGGAAGTGCCCCTGGAGAAGGCGACTCCCCGGCACCCTCACCTAGAGGGAGAGCACACCCAGGAAGAGACAGCAGCTGTGGCGGGGGGGCCAGAGCCAGACTCAAGTCAAGTACTGCTTCCATGGCCCTGCCCTTGGGTGGTCCCCCATCCTCTGACCCTCAGTGGAGGGGCAGTGCCCCATCTCAGCTCCTCCTGCACAGCTGCCACAAGGATGGCAAAAGGCCACTCTGTGGACAGAGCAGGGGACATCTGGACAGTGACCAACCAATCTAAACTGGTGTGGCACTGACAGGACCAGTGACTTTGCGCAAAGGAGTCACACCACTGGGCCACACTTGAGCCACAGACAAGGCCCAGGAAACCAAGAATCCACACAGCCCTTCAGAAGCAAAAGGGAGCACCATGCAGAGCACAAACTGAAACTGCCCAGGGCCCCTTGGAACACACGGCCAGCTACAGGGACACCATGCCAGCAGTGGGCAATGAGACCTGGGCATTCAGCACAGCAGGAGTTTGGCTTGATCAGGACAAGGGACATGGAGATTCTCACATCTGGTACCCCCTTCTCCCTAAGGGGAGACCAGGCCCCTCAGGACAGTGACTGGGGGCTTCACACACAAGCCACAGGCCAAGTGTGGTCTTAGGGGTGCTCCCCAAACTCAGACATGGTCCTAATTTGGGGACAGCCCACAGGCAGAGCTGCTATGGCAGTGCACAGGAGTGGGTAGGAGAGGGTCCCAGGCTTCTCAGGACAGGACCTGCTTATCAATCTCAGCCCCAGTGGCTCTGTCTGGTCTTAAAGAAAGATCTGGGTGTATGGGGTCAGCCCTGCAGAGCCACAAGCCCCTCGGCAACCACCCGTGACACAGAGGGCCACGGGTGGGAACCACCTTGGAGGGCCCCTGGCTCTGGAAGTCAATTGGATGCCCTGACACTGAAACAGGTCTCCAGGCCAGAGAGAATCACCCTGGGTACTGTCCTTCCCCAGACACATGAAGAGCAGGAGACATACCTCAGGGGAAAGTGCCCACCCAGTGGTCTCCTGTGGGAGACCTCCATTCACTCTGCCAACTCACTATCCCCAGTCCCCCAGCTATGATGTGTCCTTAAAAGCCTGGCCCTGCCCAAGCCCCAAGCCATTGGTGACCCAAGGTGGGAAGATCAGTGGGTCTGAGGCACTTGAACCTCCCAATGTGATATCCCCTACCCTGTCATCAAACTCTGCAGCCACTTCCCTGATCCTGGCCTTTGTTTCTATAGGGGAAGTCTGCCCCATCACAAGTACTATCTCACTTAGCCATTCAACAAACTTCAGCTATCAACAATGGACCAAGTCACTCCCATGAAGAGCTGATGGGCACCAAGGAATCAGGCATTTGGGGGTCCCTGATAGGGGTGAGCCCAGGGCCATGACCTACCAGGGGGTCAGAAAAGGTGGGGTTGGATCTCAACCCAGGGCAGGTGAGCAGACCTGAGCTCCTGCCAGCCCTCTAGGATGGGGACTTGGCCACACCAGCATCACCAGCCCCTGCTCAGCCCCACAGAGCATGTCCACCCTTGCCCTGAAGCACCCCAAACCAGACCTGCTCTGCACACAGAAACATGGACGGTAGGACCCTGCCCTATGGAGAAAGCCTGCAGCCCCCAGAATGACAGGGCCTGCAAGTGCTCCTCCAGGCTTGCCATAGGCCATGGGCTCAGTCGTGTGCCACGTCCACATGTCTCCTACCCAGCCCAAGCAGATCCTTGCTTGTCCCCGTTGAGGCTGGATCCTTAGTCCACTCTGTGGCCTTCTGGAGGGAACTTGTCCTGTTCTGGGGCTTCGTTCCCAAAGTCCTTTCAGCAGCTCCCCAGAAGGGTGAAGTCCGGGGTGGGGGGCACTCAGCTTTGAGGAGGTGGAGCTGCACGTGCGGAGGATGGTGACGAGAGAAGAGATGGCAGGAGGCGGCAGCAGGGGCTGAGCCAGCTTTGCCCTGGGAGCCATGGATAGCTGGGGGCTGCAGAAGGGGCTCCACAAAGCACAGAAACTTCTGGCAAAGGTGGTTTGGGCTCAGATGGGAAGATCATGTGTGCAGGTAGGCTGAGAGCTACCAGGGAGCCCAAGAGCCACCAGGGAGCCCAAGAGCAAGGCGCACACTGGGGTGTGCAAAAGACCAAGCTCAGCCCAGGGTCCATCCTGGCTCTGCCGAAGTCCTAAAACAGTGACCAACTAGTGGACAGGTTACCTCCTGCTCCCTAAGGGCCATGACAAGAGCCAGCCAGCTGAAGCTGGGTTCTGGCCTTATCTTCTCATGACAGCTGTACCCCAGGAATCCAGGGGAGGAGGAGGGGCAAGGGCTGCTATCTTTCTCCCAGACACCCCCACATCATCAAGCTCTGTGACCAGCCAGGGTTGGGGGAGCACCTACTTACTTGGCAAGGGCTCTGTGACCTGGCCCTCGCCTGGGGGAGCCTGGGCAGAGAAGGTCTCTGCCACCATGCGCTCTACCGGTGTAAGGATGAGGCCAGGGACAGGGCCGCCCTCGGCCAGCTTCTTCCGCACAGCGCCCCGCAGGTCCCGCCACTTGTGCTTGAGGTCGCCCAGGTCTCGGTGGCAGTAGCCCAGCGCGTTCACCGCCTGCAGGATCCTGCCCCACACGCGGTGCTTCCGAGCTGGCGTGCCCCGCAGCGCCCCAAACAGCAGCGGGTAGTGGCGTATCACTCTCTGCACCAGCACCTCAGTCTCCTGGGGGCTGAAGTTGGGCTTGCGTGTCTTGGTGCGGTGGTGGGGGCCTGGCTGTTGGGGAGAGCCTGGGCCCCCACCCCGCAGCAGGGCTGCCATGGCTGGCTCAGGGCTGGAGCTCCGCCGGCAAGTGGCCTGGCTGCTGCTGGACCCTGGAAAGGCACCAGAGGCTGAGCAGTGGGCAGAAGCTGTGGGAAGGAGGTGTCACCAGGCTGGTGGCCCCGGGTTACTACAGGTCCCTGCATGCATGAGCAGAGGGGACACACCAGTTATTGGCACATGTGTCCTGCACCCATGGTATCAGAGCCTAGCGTCATGGCTGCTCTGAGCCTCCCACTACCCTTCTGCCAGGTGCCATCTCCCCTCCCTGACCTGCTTGGCAGGTCACCCCAGGTTGTCCCTGTTCACTCCCTCCCTGAACTGCTGGTGTGAATGCCCCTTCCCACCCACAGTATGACCCCACCTGATTAGTCTGTCACCGGGACTGGTGGGCAGCTGGAATGGACAGGCCGTTCACACCCTTAGCATGTCCCAACTGACATCAGCCAGCCACAGGCTAGAGCCACCCTCAAAGGCCAACAAGGAGATAAGTAGCCCTGGGAGAGGACATGGTGAGGGGCAACGAGTGGCCCAGTAAGCAACATCCAGGACCGCAGAGCGGTGGAAGCCTGGCTGTGGGGCTGAGGGGTGAGAGCTGGCTGACGGGACCCCAGGGAACATTGTGGGGCAGGGAATATGGCAGCCTGTGGCCTCCTGGCTTAAACCTGGGTCATTTCTGGGGGAGCGGTACAGCACCCATGGTGAGGAGCTGGCTGCTCAAGGGCCTCAGAGAAGTGGGGAGGTGGTTCTCGCTACAGGCCCCTAAGGAGACAACTGAATGGCCAGAGGAGGGAGGGAAGTTGGTGGGCCAGAGGCCCAGGGTCCTGGCGGGCAGCTGACTGCTGTAGCCAAGCAGCGCTGAGCACTGCTCTAGACTTTGTTCACAAGAGACCTGGCCAGAGCGCTAAGAGCTCCTGCCCCACCGGGTCAGGCACCCAGCACACCCAGGGCCAGGGCCCTCAGAAGCCCACTTGCATGTCCCTAGGCCCCAGCACAGGGTGGACAAATGCAGGCCAGGGCCTCCATGTGACCACACCAGGTAAGGGATACCAGCTTCCTAGGTCTCTCTGAAGACCTGGTCTCTGCTGAGAGCCTGGACTGGACTGGCTGCAGGGCTTAGGTGTACACTCCCAAGCAGTGAGCCTGGGAGCCCCAGCCTTCAAAGGGCAGCATCTTGAGGGTTCAATGGCCACCACCCTCCCCTGCTTCATCCTCAAAATGCATTGGACCTAATGGGCTAGGCAGGACTCCTACAAGGAGGGAGGAGCTTAGAAATACCTTTCTCCTCATTTTAAGGTGCAGGTGGCCAGTTCCTCTGGCCCTTGAGCTTTGAGACCTCAGGCGGAGGCTTGAGGAGCCCCTGGGGAAGACCACAGGTGACCCATAGAGGCAGCAGGAGGTCAGGACCACCCCTTCCCCCAGTTCTGGTGGTGGGTGGCTAAGTAGAGCCAGGCAGCAGGGCGGCAGAGTTGGGAGACCTGGTTGCTGTGGCCTATGTCCCATTTGGCAGGGAAAGCCCCCCTCACTGTGGGTGCAGACACCCAAAGAGAAGCCTCCAGCCTTCTGGCTCCAGGCTTAGCCCCTTCATCCTGACTGCTCACCAGCCAGGGCAAAAGGGTGGGCCTCCTGGGGGCTGGCAGGGTTCCTGGGCTCCCTGCATTGCTTTCCTTCCTTTGAATGAGGAAGGCAGGGCTGTGGGTGCTGCATGCTGGGAGGCTGCCCAGGAGGTGCTGGCTTGCAGAGCTGGCCCGGTCTCTCTCAAGGACTTTCCCAGCATGCTGTCCCACGGCTCCTCCACAGGCGGGCACACTGGTGGCGGAACCACAGCCCTGGGCTCCACGTCCCAGAAACCTCATGGAGACACCGCTGCACCTGACTGCAACCCCCACCTGACATGGCCCATCTTCACTCCTTAGGCTCTAGGCAGGCAGGAGACCCCATGAAGGACATGGAGGCCAGGAGCTCTTGAGTAGAAGAGTGAGTGGCCCTCTTCCCTGAGCCCCCCTCTCAGCCTTCCTGAGGGCTGGAGGTAGCCTAACCCCACCCCAGGGCCTTGCTTGTCTCAGAGGCGGTTTTGCCCACACCCAGGGGTCAGCAGGCAGCCTGAGGCTGGAGTGGCTACCCACCAATGGCGTCTCCTTGCTCCGACACCATGGAGGCCAAGTCCTTGATGATCTGATCCACATCCAGCAAGTCACTCTGCAGAATAAGACAGAGCCATCAGTAACAGAGCTACGAGGCGCAGACCAGGGCATTGGAGAAGGTGAGCCCAGAGCCAGGCATGGGCAGCAGCCACAATACTGACAATCAGCCAGCATCTGGTGACCAAGTGGTTTGCCCACTTCCTATCACAGAACGAGTGACCAGAAGGTCAGGGACAAGCCCAGGGTCACTGTAAGTCAGAGGTAGAGCAGGGATCTGAATCCTCAGTCTCCTGACTCCAAGCCAAACCTCAAACTCCCCTAGTACCCAGGGCCCCAGGGTCTGCCCTGGGGATTTACAGTCAACTACAGAACAGTGTCCCCAGTGCTGCTGTGGAGGCCTGAGGAAAAGAACAGAAACTGTCCTGAGCAGAGCACCCTGTCTGCACACTTGCTGGCTGCTTCTGAGCATATCCCATCCCTCTGCACAGCCCAAGAACTCCTTGACAGAAGGGCCCTAATGGCCCCTCCATGTGCACCAGCACTGAGCATGGACAGCACACAGGGGCTTGAAGTCCTGAAGGAGCGGACTGGGCAAAAAGAAGGACAGGTGGGTGGACAGACAGTGAAAGGTGAATGGGTAGGTGGGTACATGAGTAGATGGGTAAAGGAATGGACGAAAGGATAGGTGGGTGAATAGATGGATGGATGAGTGGATAGATAAAGGGATGGAAGAATGGGTGTGTAGATGAATGGGTGGATGAAGTTATGGGCAGATGTGTAAATAGATGAGTGGGTGGATGGATGGAAGGATGGAAGGATGGGTAGGTGGCTGGCAGCTCCATAGCTACCCAAGGACTGAGTGGCTCCATGAAGAAGTTAACAGACTAAGAAATACAAACTTGGGCCAGGGGATTTTAGGGTCTCTTCTACCCTAGCACAGCATGCTGGCCTCTTGTGCCCTCCAAGCTATCCAACTCTTTGCTCCAACAATGTGATTACAAGGATGTGGCCACACCACTCAGCCCACACACCTGGGCCTGGGCATCCACAGATAAGGGATAAAGGGATAAGGAGACTCCAGAGGGCCCATGATCTCCAGGCCTCTCAGAAGGGGAAGAGCCCACTGACTAGATGTGTACTCCTTTCCTGACCACCACGATGCACAGGGGATAACTCCCCTGCTGGCCACTGCATGGCCCTGGACATACCCGATCACTACAAGTTCAGTCTACTCACTCATCACCTAAGCAAAACTAACCCTCCTACATAGGTACCCAACTTTGCCAAGCCACGTGCAGCACCTGGCACACAGCTGGGCTTGAGCTCAGGGCAAGGGCAGTGCTTCCATGCCTGCTAGGATGGGAAGGGGTGGCCGTGACCCCTGCCCAGCACCCACTGAGTGGCTTAGTTACAGCCAGGACCAACTTCCTCTAGGGTCACCTCACCCCACTGCAAAGCGTTACAGGGAAATTCATCTTCTTCTTAAGAGTGTTTTGGGAAATGAAGCAATTAGCACTATCTAAAGCCATATCAACTATCAACCACAACTCAATTGCTGGGCTCAAATATGGCACAGAGTAGGCAGCTGCTCTGCAGGACTCAGCCAGTGGTCTGGAGGGTGGTGAGGAATGGGGTATGGAAGGCCTCAGCTCCAGTTTGTGTGGCACAGTGACAGCACCAGGCAGGGCCCGGCCCTGGCCCTGTTACCACCACCTTTTCTAGGAGTGAGGTCACAGGCCAAGGAGGCCAAGCTTAGGCTCAACTCTGAGACAGACATAAGATCACAAATCATGGCACAGGCAGGTACAGGTTACTGACCCTGCCATGTACCAGCACTAACCACTGCCCCCAAGGACCCCGCAGCACGGCAGCTGGCTGCACATAGACTCAGCTTTGGCTGCACATAGACTCGGGGCCTGGGGGCTTTCTAGGACCTCGCAGGCAGCAGCTCACACATCTCCACACATCAAGTGTGATGCACCTGAGGTTATCTCACCCTTCACAGACAAGGACCTAGGTCACAGAGGGTAAATGACCGCCCAAGGACACAGCCAGAAATGTTGAGGCCAGCATCCAACCCAAATTTATGTTGATACAGGCCAGGTTACTACCCACCGCAAATGCTGCTCAGCCCCCAGGGACTGCAGCCTTTCCCCAGGATGGGCCCAAGGCCCCAGTCAACACTCAGGGACAGCAGGCTCCTCCAGGACGTCCTATGCTGCAGCCACCTGCACATGGCAGGCTTGTGTGTATAAGCCGAGCAGGAGAGGCCGAGAGCCATGCTGGTGCGGTACTGACCTGTCCGTGGTGGGAGGGAGTGCTCCAACCACTGCCCAGCATGCAGGGACACAGCTTTGGTGAGAGAGAATAGCATGGGAAGGGTGAGGCTGAGCAGGACCCAGGCCCTGTAGGCCGGCTGCAAAACTCCATGTCCCAGCCTTGGCATTCTGGCCACGTCTCTGTAAACATATGACTACTGTCCTAGGAGTACTCTGCACGTAGCAGTATCAAATCCAGTAACCTGGGACAGTCCAGATGGGTATGGTGTCACCAATTCAGAGTCCCTGATGTGTTGGCAGGGTGTGGATGGCTCATGTTCTGGGCTCAAGGAGAGCCCCTCAGAGGAGCAGGGGCCCAGTGACCTTCTAGCTCCCAGGGAATATCTCACTGTGTCCACATGACAGCCCACAGGAGACCTCCGCACAGGCTCGGCTCCTCCAGGCCGGATGCGTTGCATTCATCACTGACCTGGCTACCTGCTGCCTGCTGTGGCTTGATGTGCCACACCAGCAACGTGTCCGATGGCAGCAGGTGCTCTGGCTAGAACCCCACAGGACTCCGGCCCCTGTCAGCTGAACTGAGCAGGAGTGGCAGAAGCAGGGACTACACAGGGAAAAGCTGAGACCCAGGGGACACTTACACCACTCAGCCCACCAGCATGGGGTACACAGGACCCCGGAGCCTTCAGTGCAGTGGGAAACCACAGCAGGCTGTGCCCGCTGGGAGAGGTGACCAGGACCCCACAGTATCAGGGGTTCTGCTGTCCCAGCCTCCAGAGACTCAGCCAACCGTGCACGGATGGGCGTCAGCAACCCCCTGTCCCCAACCTCATGCAGGCGAACATGGAGGCATCTTAGGCTCATTTTAGGCATCCCCTTTTCAAGATGCCTGGCACTCAAATCACTGCCCTGGACCCCCTCTGGTGATGGGCTGGCATAGATCCTCTACCCCTCTGAGGGCTCACTGATGAGTGTCATTCATCTTGAACAAAAGGGAACCAAAGCTTGAACAAAAGCTCTGGCTCATTCTACCTGAGCCCTGGGCTCCCGGTAAGCAGCCATGGTTAAGAAATCTCCGACTCTGTTCTGGAAGAAAGCTCACTGCAGAAAACCACACCCTACAGGCCTGGGGAGGGCCAGCCTGGCCCATCTTTGGTGTGCTCCCTGTATAGAACAGACGTGAGTTTGCACAGGGGCAGGAAGACAGGGGCCACGACCCACCTCCTTCACCACCAGGGCCCCACTACCTGTTCCCATAGCTGTGGCAGGAACCTCCTGGAATGAACTGAGAGGATGCTCACATGCCAGGGCCTAGCCATACTGGTTATGCAGTCTTGGCTCACCCGCAGGATGAAAAAAATGGACTGACCCTCTGCCCATTCAGGGGAGTGTCCATGGAAGAGCAGTGGCCCCACGCCCCTCCTGCCTTCGCACCTCTTCCCCCAAGGCCACTGCAGAGTTGCAGATAACTCTTGGGTTGTCTATCCTTTGTCCCAGCACCACTGCTGCTCTGCAGGACAGCCTGAGGATGAAGACGGCCCTACACCTGCTGCAGAACTAGCAGCTCCAGTGGGGCTGGACCCAGAGCTGGGCCTGTGACTAACCCTACCATGGGTGCCAAGGGCCAGCCACGTTTAGGAGCACAGAAGGGAACATCTGGAGCAGGTGGCTAGCATGGACACTGGCCCTCCAGTCACTGTGCAGGTACCTAAGCCTTGGACACCTGGGCTGGCCCCAGCTCCGAGGGATGATGCCCAAGGTACACAGGCTCCTGCAGGCTGATACCTACAGGAGTCACGATTCACCAGAGAGCAAAATCCCACTAGGGACTTGGCAGAAGTCAAGCTCCAGACAGAAGGCCAGTCCTCTGGCCTGGGGTGAGGAAGAGGTCAAGGCCAGGCCTGAGAAGGCGGGCCAGCTTGGGTCCTGGTGCTGCCCCATGGCAGGCATAGAAGTGTGCATCCTGTGTGTGCAATCAGAGGCCAGGAGGATCCCGGGAACAGAAGAACACCTGACTTGGTTAGTGTGTAAGTCACACGAGACTGTTTTCACTGCTAAAACTAGACCTCATTAAAAGCTCCCACAGAATTTTACTGGCACCAGGAAACAGCCACCTTGCACAGGACATAAGAAGACGTGTGTGTGTGCATGTGTGCGTATGTTCCTTTCACTTTTAAAAACGAGAAAAAAAAATAACACTGTGTCTCTAGCACACAATCTCTTCTTAGAATTAGGATCTTGGCAACCACCTACCTATAAAGACGACCATTCCAGCTAATGGAACAGCCACATTTTATTTATTTATTCACTTATCTCTCCACTTATTTATAGTTAGCCAGGTGGATCCCTCCTGCATTGAGGCTGTGCATAGGGCAGGGCAGCTACACTCTGCCTGGAGTCCAGAGCCTCCCTGGGCCACTCCTTCTCCCAGCCCCTCATCCCACCCTCCCTATCCCAGGCCTGCCAGGTAGCCATGGCAACAGAGCAGCCAGTATATGCTGAGCTCTGCACCTGGGTCAGGTGACGCCACTGCTCAGGAGCTCCAGCAGGTGACCTGGGCTTGGTGAGGGGCACTCAAGCCCCTGGCTGGAGCAGTGCCCCACAGGCCTCCACACGCCACCAGGTGAGCACCATGCCTACCTTGTCCACCTCACCAGCCCCAGGACAATGGCCAGTTGCCCCCCAGGCAGCACAGGCTCCAGGCTGGGTGGACCTGCTGGCTCCTAGGGTACCAACCTTGCTGGGCTGGCTCTCTGCTCCCAGCACTGAGGCTCTG